TATTGGGCCGGTTGGTGACTTGCACATTGTCAACGGGGAGTTCAACCAAGATGACTACCCACGCACGTGAGCCTGTCCTTGCTTAACCAGAAGTTCAGTGGGTCAAGTAATCGTCAGAGCTGTGCTCGCAGGGGGCACATTTCCTGGTCCTGCTATAGTCGGCAACAAAGTAAGAGCTTCATCTCTAGTACGCGCATTGCAAGAGCTTGCTGACTTGAAACAGGGAGATCGCTTCAAAATCAACGTAACGAACTCATTGACAGACAAGAGAATGCTCCGAGCCACAAGTATCGTGAGTCGTTTCGGCTTTAGACAAGGGATCAATCGGCTAGTACTGATTTGGCCATATTGTACGTCCTTATAGCACTGGCATGGGATCTTCCAGAATGGAACCAACTACGCAGACGGTATCGCGATGGTCTCTCAGTGCCCCATTATCCCTGGCGAGTTCTTTGTCTATGATTTCAACGTGCACGACCAGGCAGGAACCTTTTGGTACCATTCCCATTATTGTAAATTTCGTTTCATCCATTCTGCGTGAGATCTGGGATGAACCTTTGGTAGCTACTCAATACTGTGATGGACTTCGTGGACCGTTCATAATTTATGATCCTGAAGATCCATACCTAAACAGTTACGACGTTGACAACGGTACGCCCTCAATTTAAACAGGCTCTCACTTATTCTTATCATCGACAACCAGAGTCCACCATTATCACTCTGGCTGACTGGTTCGCTAACCACTACCAATGATAGTTTTACTTTGTATTAACACGGAACTAGGATCCATGTAGCATCCCCCACACCCTTTGGTTCTTCGCATTCGTTGACCACGCTCATCAACGGTTGGGGCAGATCAATTCAAAGCGAGGTCACCCTCAACACGCTGACTCCACTGGCCGTTATCAACGTCGAAGCTGGAAAAAGATACCGCTTCCGCCTCATCGGCCTCTCCTGCGATGCTCCGTTCAATTTCACTATACATGACCACAATATGACTGTTATTGAAACCGATGGTCAATATACGCATCCTCTTCACGTCGATTCTCTCTGGGTCTATGCTGGGCAGCGTTACTCAGTCATCGTGAAAGCTGATCAACCCATCAACAACTACTGGATCCGTGCAGATCCCATGGCTACTCGCGGACATGCAGGTTTCGATAACGGACGCAATTCCGGTATCTTGCGTTACATTGGAGCCAAAGAAGAGGACCCAACTACCGACGGCATATCCACACAGCCCCTCAACGAGGATGACCTCCAATCGCTTATCAACCCAAAACCTCCGGGCAAGCCAGAGCTCGGTGGCGCGGACATCGTTGTCCCCATCGTTCAGACATGGCATGACGAACAGCAGGTTTTCGATGTCAACGGAGTCACTTACCAATCACCTGGTGTTCCCGTCCTTCTCCAAATCCTCAATGGCAAATATGATGCAGCGGATCTAATGCCAAACGGGAGTGTTTACAAGCTGAAGCCCAATTCGTCAGTCGAATTGCACATCCATGGTGTCGATAGAGGAGGACCTGTGAGTGTTGTGCAAGTGAACCTCGAACAAGCTGACAGTTTGGCGTTTCGCAGCATCCATGGCACTTACATGGCGTGCGTTTTTCTACAGAACATGCTCTGACTTTGGCCGCTAATAACCTATATAGCACTCGTTCTGGGTTATCAAAAATGCGCTCAGTGAGGAGTACAATTGGGTTGATCCTCCCCGTCGAGATACTGTCCCGACTGGGTTTTTCGGCAATGTTACTGTGGTTCGCTTTTTCACTGATAATTCTGGTCCTTGGTTCCTCCACTGGTAAGTAACATTGACTGAGCACTGCCTGAATGGACATTAACGTCCAGGTTAGTCATGTCGACTGGCATATCGAACTGTAAGCCAACATATTCGGAGGATTAGAGCACTAATTGAGCCTTCCCAGTGGCCTTGCAATTATCTTCGCCGAAGATCCGGAAGGCACAGCAGCTCATAACAAACACATTCCTCGTGAGTTGCCCTCCTCCCTCTGATTTGATCGACGACTGGCTGATTATATAACTCTCAGCACCTTTCGAACAACTCTGCCCATTATACAGTAAACACAATCCGGACGTGGCAATCCTGAACATCACTAGAACTCACCCTGCACCTTTCTGAAGATACATGTCGACTGGCAGAGCTGTGTATCGCACTCGTAATGAACATACTGAATCTTACTTTGCTTGTAAAGTCCCTTTGGTTCTTCGCCTCGGATCTTGTTCGTAGTCCACAGTTTTGCAATCCTTAGACCTGTGAGAGCCTCAGGCGTCTATTTTCCCAGTCATTTTGTATCAATACTTGACTAGTTCTGATACCGATTCAGAGCCATCTCTGATGCTTTCTTACGTAGAGTACTAGTCTCTAAGCTTCGAGTGAGCCCGCAATTTACTCCATGAAGAGACTCTCTTCGTTCGAGGCTAAGTTCTTGTTCTTGCTTGTCCTACATTCTCACTATCGGCTGCAATGAAATTTCGACCTTTTGTAAATTGGAACGATTTTTCGAATTACCTCTTCTCCCTTAACTTCATGTTGAGCTATATGCGTCCATTATCAACTTCAAGGACCATGCCTACGCCGTTCGAAGGATGATCGACAACAGGTTCATCGCCCATCAAGTTCAGGTGTCCATGCATTTGCTCACTCAGCTCATGCGTCACTGGGGCGAACTGTCCTCGGAAGCTTCTAAGTATAAGCAATGCAGTTGCGATATTTTGGTATATGGCGATCTGTACTAAAGCGTATACGGCAAGTATTCATCGCCAGAATGGTTTTCTATGTGCCCGTCCCTTCGACATTCAGTCTTGTAGACAGCAGAAGCTCACTCGAAGCCCATCCCAACTTCACTCGCCCCCTATAATTGGAGCCTATGGGTCGCACGAATCTCCGGCTTTCATATGGAAGAGGAGCAGTGTAATAAGTTTGGCAACACTCGACGATGATTTGCACTAACGACATTGGTCGCATCAAAGGAAAGTTAAGGCTGAGAACCAAGGGCCATGAGGTTGAGGTCTTTGGATATTCTCCATATGGCCTTGTCTTTATTCCCACCGTACAAAGGTTAAAACCGTAACACTAGTACAATCATCACCCAACACCATATATATTGCGCCACTGTTGTCTGAAGCGAAACCAGTTGACATTACCTACGTTCGTACTCCAATTTTAGTCAAAGTCGGGTTAGGTGTGTTTATTTAAGGGCAGAATGCAAACATGCTGTGGCTGGAGACGAATCTCGCTTCCCTGGCTGACATCAATTCCACTACATCCTTAAGATGTCCTGCAATAAGGTATTGGGCGTTCATCTCGGTAAACAATGCATACTCAAGGCCATGAATGTATTTTTACTGCCACCCTTGGAGTTTCATCAGCCCACCATTAGCTCGATATTGTCCAGCCACGAGGACGGTACCAGAGTTCTTCGTCATCAAGCTAGCTTAGGCACGAGCAGAAACACGGTCAGGAAGCATGTGAGTTGGGATTATCGTCTGCCAGGAAGTGACTTTCCACTGCGTCTGTAGATCAACGAGCCTGAGTTCTGCAGAGTGCAATGGAAAAACGCCCCATGCTCGTTAAACATTAAAACAAGTTTTTACATGTCTGGAATGAGTTCCTATAGCCATAGTTGCCTGTATTACACTGCTAATCGGTCGAGCAATGGTAGTGTGACACAAGAATGCCAAGGTTGGAACACACTGACCGAGATCATCACCGACAGAGTCATGTTCCATTGCATATCAAATTACGTAGTACTAGCGGCCCAGGATGCAATCGAGCATAAATAGCTTGCAAGCGTGCATAGAGTGCGCTCAAATAACGCTAGGATGCATTAAGGATATCCCGTCATTTAAGGACTAAATCGAGGCACAAACTTGGGGATTGAGATCTGAAACCTCAGCGACGTCCACGGAGCACGCCCTATGTGCACGCATATATAACGTTGTCAGTACTCATACAGCCGATCCATCATCACTCTGTATATCTTCCGTTGTGATTTGGCATCGACATTGCGGTATTCCGAGAGCTCGATCGAGATCTTTCGTAAGTGAAGTTGCATATGTATGTGTTGTTAGCCCATTGTGTTCAGCCCATTGCAGGCGCGTAAGCCCCAGGAATTTCTGAGGAGCAATAGGCTGTCAGGGTTAATTTGGAAAGTGATCTACCCTGAGTACCAATTCGGAAATTGAAGCACACAAGAACAGACCTATTAGAGATCCAGACCACAATATTTCTAGAGATTAAGTATAGAAACTTTTGGAAACTCGGACGGCTTACGTTGCGGCTACTAGGTGTGCGCTTAGGATGGCTGGTTGAGCGACCGCTCACATGTACACAGCGGCGCATGTGTCAGTGCATCAGCCCAAATAAATGAACATGACGCAGATATTGAGACCAGAGTTACATTGTAGAAGCGTACGCCTAGAATTTGGAAGGTGGTGCAGGATTTAATTCCTCGATTACGAGAACTCAGGAGTCAGAAGCCACGTTCTTCCAGATGCACTTATTGAGTCCAGTATCGCAACTATGGCAGCAGTTATAATTCAATTCAGTAGTTGAAAATTTGATAGCCCATGTATACCGAGACATATCTCTGGAGGTGATTAGTGGCGCAAAAATGAACGGTGCTCTGGAGAAATAAAACTGCGTAAATCGTGCAACTCTGGGCACGCGTGTTTATTGCATGCTAAATCAGACTTAATGATGGTCAGAAAACACACAGCTGGTTAGCTCGCGCGTCATGACATGCAGTTTGAGGTTGCATGCATACTGCACTAGCACAAGATTCCGCTAATGTTACGAAAATGCCACGTTTTGAGATACATATCGAGTTGGTATCTTGCGATAGCTGCCAATGATCGACATCTTACAAGGATCTTCCTCCGGAGGTGGCCAGTGGCGCAAGGGTGTATGATCCTGATCGACACGTTGAACAGCGCTTGCGCATTAAATAATAATAAATTGTTAGCTAAATACAACAGCCCGTTTAGCTCAGTGGTAGAGCGCGCCACTCGTATTCATCGTGATGGTGAGGTCAATCGTTCAATCCGGTTAGTGGGCATATAAATTTTGTTGGACAAGTCACCCTTCGTTCGATACACCATTTAAACCTGCCTCTGCTCATAGATTGACGAGATAAGCCGCGTTGTGCTGTGGATATAATGTGACATTTATCATGGAAAAGGATAGGCCTAGGCCAACCACCGGCAAGTCTATCATTATTTGATTATTATGCCTCCTAGACAACACATCTACATGATTTGGATGCTTCTTATAGGACGTACACCTTGTGATTTCTTGCTTTCTTCGTCTCTGACTGCCATTATCAGCTTGGAGTTTCTTAAAAATGGACCTGGGGAACTTTCGACCGCTTGAGGCTTATATCCCATATCTGGGCCGGTAGAGTAAGTATTCATTATATGTCTAGCGATGCTCAATCCCCCCCAAGAAGCTTCCTGACACACAATATCCTGCTTGGACATGATGCGTGACACAGCAAAATCTTGCATGATCAAACAGTGCTTGAACTTAACCTGCTTCTCCCCCTTTGGTCATTTTCAGCTGAAGTTTCATCCCCTCAGCTATTTATCATGCAATTGCATACCCCTGGCATCGCTGTTGATCTTTGCTTGTATTCACTATTGCATGCAAAATTATCCTTTCTAAATTATTATGGCTACTCGCGCGGTGGTATGCTTGATTTTCTATCAAGGATATGTATATCTATCAGTTCACTGTAAATCTAGATTTGCTACAATGAGTAAGGCTTGAAAATGAAAATTCACTTTTGACGGGCAAGCAGCGAGTTCTGCACATTTATTGATCAGATCCATCGTCTTATGCATCCTCGAAGTGCATACATACTTGTATTTCCCAAACCCTCCCAGGTCCCTCCTCTCCCCGATATTTAATCTTATCCTTTACTTGCCTGTTTCTCTTCCTTACATGTACATAGTATATTTTCTATATGTAGATAGCTCGCATATTGCCCCCGTCAATCAGATCTCTGAAACCTCCAAAGCGCTAACCTTTGGGGATATAACATATGTAGAGAGTGGTGGATCCCTCGTGCCAGATGCAGACAAACAAGGAACCATTATGCATTATCTTTGATCTGTCCACGACAACCAAACTTCACGTACGCGCCTTCAAAGTCTCAACGCTATGCCCTAAAATACAATTGTGGCTACAGTAGTGTACATCGTCCGAATCCATCTACGAAATAAAAACTTTTCTGAGCTCATTCACATTACAGGTAACTCCGGATCGGGGACAGGTAACCAATCCGTCGTTCTTAGCCGCCATATCATCGAGAGCCTACGAGAGAATAGTGTCAGAATATTTAATGAGGGAGGAATGGATGGGTACCTCTTTGGAATATACGTGACCGTCGGGAAAGGCCATAGGAGGATTGTCCTCGTCCATAATCTTCCCACTTATACGACACACAATTGTCGAGTTCGCATGATGGCTGAGCGGCACCTCCTGAGCAAGTTGACCCATTCCCAGCCCCTGTGTTCCAGAGTCTGCTGAGCCGTCGCAGACGGGGCAATCCACATTCTTGGTAACGGGGTCGTAACAGACCGGCAACTTGAGTGATGCTAGACCGGCGTATAAAGCGAGATGTAAAAGGGGTTCCGTAGGAAGGGTATTCAAAGAATAGATTGCTGTACGGAACGTATGAATGAGGTTTTGCCACCGGGAAAGATCGTAAAGCCGCTGTGGAGGCAGAACGGTTGTCACCGGTTGGTCGCCAGGGCCTCAAAGGATGTACGCACTTTGTATGGAGTGCAAGTTGTGTTTGAAGGAAATGCTAATAATGCGGAGGCAGTGCGGATCTGTTGCAGGTGAGTTTCCTGCCAGGCAACCAGATGCTTCTGTGCGTAGGTGATAGCTTCTTGGGCTTTACGGGCCCTTGATAGCTCAATGAATTCTTGCAGCCGTAAGTCAAATTCGAGCGGACTCTATGACGAAGGGTGAGCATTTGGCAGCTAGCAAGCAGTCCCTGGACATACCTTTATCTTTCGAAGCGCGACTTTGTTCTCGTTACACCACACCAATGCTTCCGTGCAGCTATTTTGCGACAATGCATGTTCTATCCGGCGGATATCCATAAAGAGGTCTATGTCTACAAGGGTCTATAAGAAGGCGTGTGATAAGTTTGGGTTCTCCAGCTGATGATAGACTTACCTCGATATTCTTCTCCTCAGCCAACCTCCTTGCAGTCTTCTCCATCCCCGACCGAAGACACCAGTCCACTAGCCATCGATCTAGCCTTGTATCCGCCCATCTTCCATATTCAGAGCCATTGGTGGCAGCTATGGCTTCAATCGACATGAGATGGTGTATTCGCTCCCGCATGACATCCTGAGTTGGCTTTCCTGCCGTTTCCTGGAGATCATAGAGCTGTACATCGAGGGATATAGGTCTGGAATCTGGTTCTGTACGGTAGGAACGTACGTACCTTGCGTTTCAGGCTTTCCACCCTTCCTATCATGCTCTCAATTGAATTCAGGGCTTCGTCCTTTGAAAGGGTGCCGTTTGTCTCACGTTTCGCGAGCTCTGATGAGCTGCTTTGAACTGCCCCAAGATCCCGTTCAACATTCTTTTGAGAAGTGCGGAATACCTTCCGATAGTTCTCATAAGGGACCTGGTGTAGGCGTTTGAATATGCCGTTAGAGCTTCGAAGGCAAATTTCTCGGACGTACGCGAGCAAAAGGCTGCTCAAAGAGCAAGACTCCTTCAATGTTCAATTTAGTCGCCATAGTGCTCTACTGAAACGATATCGCACGAGTAATGAAAGGCCAGATTGTTCAAGGAAATGAGAAGAACCCCGTGGCTTATATCGATCGTTCTCGCCAGACACTAAAGAGCGTCGAATGTCCACGCTGATCCCCGTGTCTGTGTCAAAGAAGTTACTTGTGTAGTGTAAAACGGTTGCAAGGTCACCTGTGAGTGCACCAACTTCGGTCCGGTCATCTATGAAGCAGTCACGTGAAACGGCAACTAAATGTTCGTTGTCAACATTGTTTTCCTGTCCATCTTTCTGTCTTGGACCGGCTCTTGACGAAACAGAGAACCTTGTGGAGCCACATATACCCCACGAACTCTCTAATGACTCTCTTTTTCCGGCGCCGGGACTCAGCAAGGAAGCCCTCCATTTCCGGAGAATTGCGGCGATCATCACTGACGTTGACTTGGGTAGAACTTCCAGCTTGGCAGAGAGACAACGAATACATTATAGCTGGCTATAGAAGGTGAAAGATACCGCCTCCTTATTCCAACTACTTTCACTTTGGCTTAGATCTATCATAGGGTCCAGAATCATTGGCCAGGATGCTTCAAATCTGTGTACGCATGTTGGTCGCCATTTTAATCAAGCCACAACAAAGAAAGTTAACAGCTTAACATTACGATAAGATCTACACAACGAAACAAGTTTGTACCTCAGTTTTTGGGGGAGTTCTTTCTGTCCTAAAGTGCCGCAGTCAATATTCACAGTCATCTTTGGGGCGCTGTGCTATTCATTTACCTCTTACTAGACTTTAATACCCACCAACGCCCAGGATCGACCTGGTATGACACAGCTGTCTTCTCCGTTTTCCTAGCTTCCGCTGTGTTTTGTCTGTCCGCGAGCGCCTTATACCACACAGCAACTTGCCACTCGGAGAAGGTATGTCTGACTCATGCGATCCTGCACCAGTGCCCCAAGTTGATGGTATTTGTAGGTCTCTTCCTCGTGTCATGCAATTGACTATTCTGGAATAGTCGTCCTGACTGTCGGGTCATTTTACCCATCGCTTTACTATGGCTTTCATTACGAGCCATACCTTTGCTCGTTTTACATGCTGTCTATTACAATAGTTGGTTTTGGTGAGTGACTACGATCGTGATCAATACGTTGAAAGTTTGATCTTGATCGCGCCCGTTTACTTACTGGAATTGACGCTTATTGTGTCCATTTAGGAGCTGCATTTATAGTTCTTCACCCAGAATATGCCAAGCCGACCCATCGAGGAGCTCGAACGGCAGTATTCATTGGCCTGGGGGTGTCCGCGGTCGTTCCAGTGTCCCATCTACTCTTAACTCATGGATCTGTGCAGTTATTAGTAGATATGGGTTTTGGATGGTTGCTTGCCTCAGGTAGCCTTTACATTATCGGCGCGCTGCTTTAGTATGTTGCCTTATTTCCCACCTCGTTGTTGCCCACTTCTCCATCATCTCCGTCTTCTCATTTGACTAAGTAAGGAATCCTGACGTGATATACTTCTGCAGCGCGAATCGCTTTCCAGAACGCATGGCTCCGGGTCGTTTCGACTATTTCTTTGCGTCACATCAAATATTTCATGCTTGTGTCGTGCTCGCGGCGCTAGTGCATTACAAAGGGGCTTTGAAAGGCCTTGACTATCGGTTGTCACATATTTCACTCTGCTGAATCACCAGGAATTACCACGTCCGCCCTTGGCTCTTTGTTTATCGGCAAATACTACTACTCGTTGCCAACGGCGGAGTTCACGGGAACATGTACCTATGTACGTTACCTTGTTGTTCTATCGAATATACGACATTCGAATAACAACCTTTCTTGATCAAATATCCAGCCCCAAGCAGAACAATTATAGATCGCGGCGTGTTGAACATGTTTACCTTGTCAAGATCGGGACTGCCGAATTCTTGTTTTGTTTTGTCGCGTGGATCCCCGATTTCTCTTCAAGGATGTGCATTCAGAAATGCCAACCGACGTGGGATTCTCGGGACCGTTATGACGCATGATGCCCCTACTTTGTACATGGTTGGGTTGAAACAGTACGGCACGATCAGCTCATAGCAGCCGTCTGTCAGGATATCACAGCTCCAAAGTGACAAGAGGTTATCACCATGTATAGAAATATTTGGAAGCCGAACTGCCGTGCCCGAATGAGCTCATACAAGAGTGTCCTTGGTAGTCACCGTCCATATGATTACGACCAACGCGAATCCCAATTCCCGCCCAAAAAGAATGATAATGATGGGATTGCAGCATCAGAACCCCAGTTTCCACGAACCACACGAAAAGTAGTA